GAGGCCTCTGGTGGTGGTTTCCTCTTCTCTTCCCTGAGCCGAGCTTCCTTTGACCCTCTGGCAGCACTCACCACCTGCTTTGGGCCTTTTGTTGTTGCTGTGCGACCATAGACAGGATGCTGTTCGTAGTCTACACTTTTTAAAGAAAATTAGACTCGCAGGACGACGCGTAAATGTTTAGCTCAGAAATATGTGCTCTGCAGTGGACCTGCGACCTTCTTCCACCCTCTCACACTCACCCGACAGTGACTCACTCAAATGTGCGTCACTGTTGGCACAGTAAACAGTTTTTATGAGTCAGCGTGGCGGCTCGTAGACAGCTGCACAGCGACTCTGTTACAAGCTTCCATTAAGTTAACACGCCCGAGGTGTCCGAGGCTCAGTTGTTCCTGAAAACAGACGCCAGCGCTTTCCTTACCTGGTGCCAGGGGCGCTCCTAGGATCAGAGCGTTGGGGGGCCGAGCACCCAGAGAGCTGCCAGCCAGGCAATAACCTTTACTCGTCACGATGAGACGTCTTCCCCGTCTCAGAGTCCCTGCATCCCTACATGTCTCCAGGTGTCCCGAGTTCCCTCTGACTGTGTCCTCGGTGCATTTAAACCTCTTCCTCTCTGTCCTCGTCGTCTGCTGTCCTCTTCCTCTCTGTCCTCGTCTCCGCTATCAGGCATCATAATCTTACCATCTCTGTGCAAGTCTGCAAATTTCTGTATTAAATCATGAGATTCCTAAATTCATCAAGTCTCTCTGTGCCTGGGTCACAGAACATGACATCACTGTTTTCTACATTTGAACAATTTAATCAAACAAGAAAAACACTTTTTTAAAGTCTGTAACAAAACCATCAAATCTGATCGAGGTTATTTAAACGCTGCTAAAGAAGAATGCACTGGAATAAAACACACCCTGACCTTCATTACTGGTTTATTAATAATGAGTGATGCTCACAGTGAGGAAGGAGTAAGCTGAGTGCAGTTTATGGACAGATTCACTTTTAATGTGTGTGTTTAATATAACACAGACACATAAAATGATCCTGATGGCTGCGAATCAAAGGTGCCCTGATTTAAGTGTAGATGTGTGGAGTTCACAGCAGCATGTGTGGGGTGATACTGACACACTGGGGACAGACTGCAGCTGTGGTTGGATGGAGACCTGCAGGTCAGAGGTCACTGTACATGGTCTCGGATTACCTTTCTAAGAACTACAGCTGATTACATCAACTAGCAAAAATCTGCTTTTCCTCAAAATATTTTCACAATAAAAGAAAACAGTAAAGTTTCCCTGAAGTGCTGTAAGTTACAGGATCTCCTGTCAGATAACTGGAGAAGCCCTCTGTGCCAGGAGGGGCTGCATGGCCTCGACCCTCCATGCAGTAATGTGCTGGGTCACTGGGGACCAGTATGGTGACCAGTACTGGCAATGCTGTGTTAGGAACGTCTGAAAGGTTGCATTGTACGTTGAGAAAAGTCATTTTTGCAACCCATAAATATCCATATAAGACTTCTAAGAGCTGACTGTGGGAAACATCAGCCTAAATCTGGCTCTTTAAGGGAAATCCAAACGCTTCATCCCCTCACTCGAGCAGGCTCTGTGCAGCACACGGTCACACGCAGCTGCATTGTGACAGGTCATTGTGTTAAACTGCTTCCAATCACACCTGCACACGAGAGCCTGGCAGCGTCTGCAGCTCCACCACGACATGAAGCCACGGTCATCATGAGCGCTGCTACAGGATCTGCCACTGGAGCAGACTGAGACAGCCGCACGATCGGCTCACTGACGGCGACTCTTTGTATCGCCGCCGTTCTCATGGCGAGCCTGTGCGGGCTCCTCGCCGTGCACGCAGGAAATGTGCTGGAAATGCTTTGTGAAGAACGCTTTCCTTAGAGGAAGCCTTGTCTTTGTCCCCAAGCCTTCTTTCATTTGCAGCTCCCTCCCCCAGGCTGCTGGGCTCCTCGGGGGGAGTAACCCCCGAGGGGCCTGTTGCTGTTTTGTTCTTTGCTAAATGCATGGGGCAAAGATAAGTAAGATAAGTAATCACGTCTTTTGACGAGATTTAATGAACCACAGGTGTTTCTCTGTGGAGGAAAGGTCAGAGGTCATGGATGCAACCCGCTCTCTCACTGCAGCGATCGTCTGTTTGGGGACCAGATGTGCTTCACAGAGCTGTGGAGGCGGCTCCTTCCATCCAGTGGACACACTGAAAATAGCTGTCGGCCTCATTCTGGCGCCTGATGACGCTGTTCAGAGGCTCATCAGGGTTTGTAAATGGGCCAGTGTCACAGCGCGGCCTCATAACTTTGTTCATTTCATGAAAAGTGTCACTGTCACAGGCTCCAGGGCTTTATTCTTACAGCTCGTGTGGTCTCTTATAACACCGGTACAGAGACAGACAGAGCTGAGGACTGACGTACAGGACGTCCATCTTCATGCTTAGTCACATGTGATTTTGAATGGATGAGTTTGTCTTTGATGGTGGAAGCAGCTCTTACAGGAAGCGTGCACCGACGAGGCTTTGGGGTCGGCGTTGCCTCCATGAGCAGCTCCAGCATATCGCTGAGGTTGATGGTGCAACCAGGAGACAAATGTAAACATGAAGACGCACAAACCTGTTTGTGTCGCCGTGTTTGATTACAAGTACAACTGTTATTGACTCAACACGCGCTGCACTGTTAGCACTGGACATGCCAAGGCATCACTTTACACTCGTGTGTGTTACGGAGCTGAACCGAGCAGAGTCAGTCTGCTCGTCCAAGCAAACGTGGACGGTGAATGAGGACAAGACAACAGCCGTCCCTGTTCTGAGTTTGTTGCTGCTGAGGCTGCTGTGACATCAGTGTCTGCTTCACACTGCGCGTTGTGTTTGTGTGTTTTCAGCTTCACGTTTCTTACACGTGGTTCAGCTCGTCGTCACATTTTGATCTCAGACGAACCTGAGTGGATCCAAAATGTTCAAATGCTGATTTCATGTATCCAGAGGAGGAGCTGTCCAACCCTGTGTCAACAACATCCTCGCCCTAAACTGACACCCGGCTGGAGACAGTCACGTCTTAATTCAGTCAGTGTTTCTGAGGATGATGGGCACAAGTCTGATATCTCTGTGATTTTACAGGAAACCTGTCAAATCTCTAAAACCCTGAGAAATGAGGAAGCTGAAGATGCTGTCACAGCACCGTAAGACCTCACATTGTGCTAAATGAACGTTGAACCATTGCACGTTAAACACTTTCAGTCGACTTGGATGTTTTTCTCACTCCAACCTCTCCACGTTGGCTTTGGCGTGACTCAGTGAGGTTGTCCGTCTCTTGGCCATGTGACGGCCTGACCACGGCCGTGTGGCAGCTGGACTCGGTGGCATTGATGGATCGGTGCTAATATTAAAGAGCTGTTTCATATTGGTCCACATAAAAAGAGAAGGACTGAGCCTCCAGTGTTCGGAGGTGCTGATGCTCAGCGCAGCACTCATGCTGCTAATCCTGTTACGTCACAGATTAGCGGCGTGCAGCCACACGGAGAGAGTGGGTGATGTCGGGACAAGAACATCCCCAGTGAGCACCGGTCCCTGCAAAAGCACAGCCCATTGGTCCGATTAGGAGCTGAGGTGTGATTGGAACATACAGCAGCTGCTACACAACATCTGCACTAGTCTGTGGTCTCTAGATTCGGATCAGTGTGGAGTATAGACGACAGCATGTGGTTGCATGTGCAGTTACCTCCTCCAGCTGCTCTTTCTTCATTTTTCCATCACAAATACAGCACGATGTGTGTGCAGTGTTTACTCACAGGGACCTCCAAAGGTCACAGACTAAACATGCTGCATGCCAGTCAAAGCTTATGGCCTAATGGGGCCTTTCCACAGTTTAATGGTTTCATCAGAGTAACAATGGCTCATCAGCACAAAGTAAAGATGGTGTCAGACCTGCCAGCGCCCTGCAGACATGTTGCAGCTGAGCCCGATTCCCACGTGAGGATGATGAGAAGCAAACCAGGTGAGGAGCAGAGAAGGAGATGCATATTCAACAGGATGTATCATGTCACATGGTTTCATGCTGAGTAGAGTTTAGTCTCAATCAGAATACTTTATTAATCCTGGAGGAAATTACAGCAGGCAGCACGCTGATGCTGCATGTGCACTTACAAAGGAAGCCTCTGACCAACTTTACACAAACATCGACCTGCCTTCTGCATCTGATGATGGCGCTTTGCTCAGGCCTTCATCACACTTAGGACTTAAACTGCTACTGTACCAACAACATCTGGACCATTAGAAATGCAATAGGGATGCGTAACATCCTGCATGTGGTGCATGTTTCTGTGTGTTATCACACTGATCAGCCTGTGAACCATAAGTGCTTCTAAATTATGACCCGAACTCTAAAACTGCGCGTTCATACAGACAGCACGGACACGTTGATGTTTCTTTCTGGACTTTCTGCCACAGTCAGAACTGTTGTCTGAAGGTAAGACACGAATGCAACCAGGTAACGTGCTTACACGAAGCTTGTCTTATACAGGCGGCTTCTGGTGTCTAACAGGAAGCGGCTTTGTTGATGCTCCTTCCTGTTGCGCTGTCACACTGACCCAGTGAAAACATTGAGTCGTGTGGCAGCCTGTGATAGGCTGGTGATCTTTTGGGATGGACCACGGCAACGAGAAGCTTCTGTGCCTAATATTATGGCTGTGATTGACAGCCTTCAAGAAGACGACTGGAATGAAGAACAGGGTAAAAGTGTGAGCGTGGTGGTTAGTTGTCTGGTCCTGAGAACATCTGTAATAACCTTCTTTTCCAGCTGTTTCTGTCAGATGATGCACGTCCGCCTCGTTTAGCGCCGTGAAAGGCGAAGAATAGACTCGCCGCACACGCTCTGCACCAACGGCTGCGTCACGCTTGTGTTTGACGTGCCAGAGCTCACATTTCCTCGTTTCCCAGGAGGGAGGTGCTGTTTGTGTAAACGCCGGTCTGAAAAAGGCTCACACAAATATGGTCTCTTTGTTTTTCAGATCACCAGAAGTTGGAGCGCGAGGCCAGGATCTGCCGCCTGCTGAAGCACTCCAACATCGGTAACTAGAGCTCCTGCTTCACTGAGGACATTACAGTTTTATTTATTTCTGCCGACAGTGAACATGAAAGCCTTTAAAGGCTGCCCGCGACGTCTCATAGCAGCTCTGCCAGGATATTCGCCCGTGCAGCAGCTCACCAAGAGCACACCCCCACTGCCTCATTCCCCAAACTACCCACTGCAGACTCACCCGTCCCTTATTGCAGCACAAGCACAAGGATACTTTCCCTCTGAGCCACAAAGACCTGCAATTATCACCTCAGCAACGACTTTGTGGAAACCGTCATTTGTTTTTCAGTCCTTCTAGTGAAAAAAGAAAGGGACGGGGGAAGTGACAAATGAGGGGATGATGGGGGTTATTTGGTCTGCTGGTCTATTGTGAGCTTGTCTGAATCGGACTAAGCAACACGTGAAATTGGAGGGTTTAGTGTGAAAGTGATGGGGTTTGTGTCCCTGCTCACAGCACGACACCAAGGCTGACTTCATTCTGCTTTAACGTGGTTTAGTGTCGCACAGACGTGCTGGCTGAACTTACAGGTTACAGAAGAAAGCTGCTGTATCTATGTAATGTGCTCTGTTGTGTCAATAACATGAGCTCAGCTCTTAGTCATTTATACGATGTCTAAATCGTGTCTGGACACTAAATATATGTGAACACAGAAATGAAAAGAGTAATTATGAGCAGTTATTTTAGAGATCGTGCTGTTAGATTTACAATGTGTCCATATTTGTTTGATCCTTAGCAAACAAAAGGCAGCTGATTAAGATCAAGTTTGAACAGGTAACCGTACACTTGGCCCGCCTCTTACCAGTATCGTCCCAGCAGCATCCAGCTCCTGCAAGCTCATTGCAGTGACGGATCTCTGATGTCGGCCATGAGAGGAGCTGATGGAAATGCCAAAGATCCCCACAGCGAGAGCGTTCCCTTTGGCCTCTTCATCCACTCGTATGTTGGACTGTCTGAGCTTTCGTGAGCGCCGCTGTTAGAGGAGTCTTTGATAAAGTCCATTATTGGTCACAGCAAACGTGTCTTACATGTGGAGCATGAAACCAGCATGTGACCTGTTGTTTGCCGAGTTCAAGCCCAACATCAATCAGGCAGAATTAGACGTGAAGAGTTCTCGATGTGTTTTCAGGGTAATGAATAAATCGTCTGCAGTTACTTGTAAAGACTGTTTCCACAGGTCCACAGGTAAAATGAACTGTGTTTAAATTGCTGCTGCAGATCTCTGCACACGTGCAGATCTGCAGTAGAAAAACGCCGTCCTCATCAGCTGCTGGTCACGTGGTGCCGGGGCAACAATGAAAACGTAATTTTCCCCTCCTTCTCCCACAGTGCGGCTGCACGACAGCATATCAGAGGAAGGATTCCACTATCTGGTCTTTGACTTGTAAGTGCTGCCTTTGATTGTTACATGTTCCACTAATGCACCACGAAACACGTGTGACTGCGCAGACCACACCCACATCCACACAAGACGGGTAACCTCGCCGCTGTCCCATGCACCGCCGCCGAGGCACCGCCGCCGAGGCACCGCCGCCGAGGCACCGCCGCCGAGGCATCTGGGGAGCATAAATGCAGCGTGTTGCTTTACTCTAGGGCTGGGCGATATACCCAACTTTTGAGAAAATGAAAGGATTTTAGTCCGTGCAGCCCCTCTGGGCTGCATGGCGTTAGCGTGGTTAGCTCGTTAGCGTGGTTAGCTAGCTAACACGCTGCCACCGTCCAGCCCCACGCACGGGGCGATGCGCAGTAACTCATTAACGGAGATTTGCCGTGTCCATCTGCTCACTGCCTGCAGGTGAAGCGATGGGGGAGGAGGGGGAGTTGTGTTCAGTGAAGGAGAGGCGAGGCCGAGTAACGTCGTAAAGACAAAAGTGGACGAAAGAGAGGCAAACCTGCGGCTCCACAACTATAATTATAACGTAACATAGACTATATCGATATAAAGGATATGGTCACATCTTATATCTCGTATGAAAATATCTCGATATTTTTAAAAAACTCGATATATCGCCCAGCCCTACTTTACTCCATCTGCTCAGGCACATCCTATACTCCTGCATCCATATAAACACGCTGAGATTACTGCTGGCTCACACAGATGGCAGGTATCTGTTCCAGAGCCATCTGCTGAACGTCTTTTTTACCACCCAGTTTCCCTGAGTATCCGGCCTGAGTCGGATGGGTTAAAGCTGCTTTTCTTTCTTATGCTGACAGCTCATATTCAGTGTGTGAGATATGAGCGATACGGGTGCTGTTGCTTCATATATCTCTTTAAAAACAGATCATTTATAAAGATGCTACGTTGCTCCATCACTGGGAGGAGAGGTTGTACCAATTCAGTATCAGTCTACAAAATACTTATTGTAGAGCAGCTCTGGTGTCAATGTGAAAATCCTGTGAGGCTCTGGAGTCATCGTGTTCACGTGGTTGGGTGTCACTCCAGAAGGAGGCAACGTGGGTCTTCAGATTGATGCCACAGACAAACTTGTTGAGGGTCAAGGTCCTGAAAGAGCGTGAGAGCCCTACAGAGCTGCCACCTTCATCCATAGGTGCTGCCAGCATTTTGCACCAGAGTCACGACTGCACCTCCAGTTTTAACAGACATCGCAGAGATCTGGTGTAGCTTTTAAAGCCAGATGCTTTCTGGCTGTATATGTGATTTCAGCTGCTCAGCAGTTTGTGGCTGTGCTGTTGTCTTGGTGAAGTCAGCTTCCCGTCTGGCAGCAGGCTGTTCTCCGTTTCACAGTTTGGACTCAGTAAGGCACCAAGAGCTCAAATGAAGCTATCGATGTGCAGAAAGTCCGTTTTAATTCTGCAACAATCTTTAATTCTCCCAACCAATCACAGCAGATGGCCCCGCCCCTCCCTGAGGTTTCTTCCTGTTAAAAGGGAGTTTCTCCTTCCCACTCTCGCCAAAGTTGTGCGTCCACATTGAAACGGCCGTAAACGCTGACGGCCTGCCTCATTTCTGTCTGCTGCTTGTTTACTCTCCGGCTCTTTGAAGCGTGGCGGCAGAATGACGAGGAAAAGCAGCGAGTTTTTCAAATGGACTCACAATGAGGAGGAGTTGCTGCTGCGAGTAACACAAGAGTACAGAAGCGAGTGAGAGTTAAAAACTGAAGCACAGCTCTCTGCAGCTTTAACAGAACAATGCTGTGTAACGCCCTCTGCTATCTTTGGTTAATTGGTCACATGACTGCACCACATGACTGACGTGCGGCATCTTTTTCGAAAAGGCTCCGGGTTCGATGTCCACGCTGTGACGCGAAGATGACGTTTTCTAATGTTTCCGCTTTGGAGAAAACGCTGAGTTTTCCTTGACCGGAAACGGCGTCTCAGTGTGGACGGACGCCAAACGGAGAGAAAAAACCTTCGTAGGAGTCAGGATCCTTCCTCCAACGCTGCTCAGTGACTGCCTCCTCCCTGCTGGGTGTCATCAGCTGTTGTTTGCAGTCATATCTGGCAGCCAGAAAGGAAATGGCTTTCTAAACTCGACGAGCAATAATAAGATCAGAGGAGTGTCTGCTTCCTGGCCACGAGCATCTCCTCTTTTCCCTTCATTGAATCATTGCCAGTATGGATGCCGGGAGACTCTCGCAGTGGGTTAAAGCACAAACCCTGGATCAGAGAGGGCATGGCTGCAGCACCATCAAGTTGTTAGAGGGCATTTAGCTGATTTACTGGGCTTAACATCGTCTTTGAACATCTCCAGACTCAGCTGCAACCTGATTCAGTTGTTAGTGCCACTTGATTTGATCTGTGTTACTTGGAAAATCTGACTTGAGTCATGGAAACGTTTTCAGCTGGAAGGAATTCCCCTCCAGCTGAAACGGTAATATTGTTGCCTGGCTGCATCTGCTGGGATCAGGGTTTTCCTCCTCGTGTCCCCAGCTGGGCCCACAGAGGGATGGAGTTTCTGCTCTAACGTGTGGGACACATGTAGCTGTAGCCACTTTAAAGAGCTGACGTCTCTGTGACCAGCAGTAACTTCAACAAACCAGTCTGAATGGGACCAGTGCTGTACGTGTGCTGGAGCCACACATTCCCCCTGCAAATGAAGTGAAATCAGCTTCTTTCTGCTTTTTTGTTTCGCTGTGTTCGTTCCCAGAGTCACTGGTGGCGAGCTGTTCGAGGACATCGTTGCCAGGGAGTACTACAGTGAAGCTGATGCCAGGTCAGTGTGAGCTCTTTCCTTTCTGCGTTACTGTAGACGTGTCATGTGACTCGCTCTCCCTCGGCAGCAAAGGCGTATTCATGCAGCCACAGTGAACTAGAGCAGACACACAATGACAGCTGATCACAGTGGATGTTTGCAAAGCTTATCATGCCTCACGTATGCATCTATGCCTTCTGTGCCCAAACCCTCTGTACCTTTTCTCTGTCCCTTTATGAGGAGGCTCCTTCCTCAGCTTCTGTTCTGCTTATTAAAAATCACCCATAAAGCAAATAATCCAGAGTAGGGATGGGTATCGTTTAGGTTTTATCTGATACCGGTGCCAAACCGGTACTTTTGAAACGGTGCCGGTGCTCAAAGAACGGAGAACACACACTTTGTCCAAAAACCTCTCAT